CTACTGTGCAGTAGGGTCAGAAATAACCTGTGTGGCAGTAGGACTGTGCAATACCAGTGATTACTGTGCAGTCATTTAGTACTTGCTAATGTAAGTACTAAACGACTGCATCTAGTACTTGCTAAAGCAAGTACTAAATGACTGTGCAGTAACACATGTAGATAAGCCTAGTAAATGTCATCATGTACACAAGCAAACACTCACTACACAGAAAATTTGCTATCTGCAACTGCAAGTAGCAAATTTACTTGATTACTTATTGCATAGTGCATGTGTAGACGCCTGACTGGGAGAAAAAGTGCTCCCAGTCAGCCAGGCAGCAGGGGGTGGGAGATTGCTCCCTGCCCCTGGGAGCTGCCTGCTGCTCAACCAGGTGGAGAGCATGTCGCCCTACCCCAGTAGCAAGGAGCTCCTAGGCCCCACTTCACGATTGGGGAGATACTTATCTCCCAGCCCAAACTCCATGGCTGCAGGGCCCAGGCTGGGAGAACCTTATCTCCCAGCCTGGGTCTTGTGAACATGGAGCTCGGGTTGCGGAGTGAGAGTTCCCTGCTGCTGGGGCAGAGGGACATTGTCTCTACCTGGGGTCTGATGGCAGAACCGGCTCCAGCAGCAGGCATCTCCCAGGAGCAGGAAGCGATGTCCCAGCCCCCATGATGAGACAGCTGTCTCCTGACTCTGTGCTTCCTGCCAGCCCCTGAGCTAAAACATAGGGGAAGGATAGATTTCCCCCTGGCTGCTGCAGGAGCACAGTGCAAGGGTGCAGGGAGCAGGAGCAGTCTGCTGCTAGGAGAAGCAAATCTGTTTCCATGTCCCTGCACATGTAGACAGCTGCCCAGGAGAGTTTACTTGAGAGTAAACTGCTCCTGGATTATTTGCACATGTAGACATGACCACTATGTATGAGATTAGTCCAAAGTCAGAAGACTCATGATTTATCATATAGTTTCATTTGGCTGGGTCCCAGCAGAGTCAACAGTATTGCAAGCTATGGTGAACCCATATCTCAGTAGTGTTCAGTATGTGTGTGTCCTCCAGATAGCCCTAACTAAGGATCCATGTGCTGACTCATTACTGGAACTGAATGTTCTTGTCAGGAGTCCTGGGATCCAAAAAATTATATACTGGTGAGGCACAGGACAACCTGGTCTGACTCCACCTCATGAAAGTGTAGCAGAAAGCCCCCTTTTCCTCTTGCCTGCATTTGCTCTCCCCTCTTTGGATATGTTTCTCTTTTTCTACCTTTTCTTCCTTCCTCTTTCTTTCACTTTAAGATAAGGAATTGTGTTTTAATCTCCCCTTGTAGTTTGGTATTTTTATCTATTTGTGTGCCATGGCATTTGTAGCTTATATTTTATACTCCTCACCTTTCAACTTTCAACTAAATGTGTTTTAGTAAGTTATACATTGTAACAATGTTCACAAGGGTAGGAATCAAACTGTCCTTCTCTGTATCAGGCTGGCCCCTGAAAGAGCGAGTGAATCAGTGATTGAATGTGTAACACGGTAGCAGGCAGCAATTAACACCTGTGAAGCTGCAGATCAACCGAGGAAGAACTCAATAGAAGACAATGTAACAACCGGGAAATCTCTAAACGTCACTGATCAAGGGCTAGAAGCCCTGGCCTGAGTTAATCAATGCCAGGGACCAACTTTTGGGCTGAATATCTCCAGATCAACTGCTCCCAGAGCCCTATTCAAAATTCATCAACCGACTCCCAAACCTGCACACACATGCAGACGACCCCTGGGCTGACAGATGCTGTCCAGTAGCCACCGAGGGGGGGAAGTCCCATGAGGGTCAATGGCCCCTGGATTGGCCAAACCTGAAAACTGGGGAGTCACCAAAGTCTGCCAGGGACAGATAAAAGGCAGTGAAAAGTGACCCTCAGTGGCGCCCTCTTGATCTCCAACTCGACCAGACCTGTCCAGCTAGAAGGACCAGCCGGCGACCCCCTTCTGGAAGATAACACGAGGCTGAAAGAAGCCTCAACGACAGACTCCAGCGCTTGTAGGATAGGTATACTTGACTCTGTACCCTGCTACTGTGTGTGTGTATGTGTGTGCATGTGTGCATGTGTGTGTGTGTGTTGACCAACCCCAAGGTTTATGATTACAGTGTTTCAATTCGCCTAATAAACTAGAATTTTAAGGATCCTGAGTTGGACATTTGTAGTCCACAGAAGGTGGAAATATCTGAAGCCCATGTTGGGGATGGAGGATGTTTGCCAGTTGTAGGGCCACTTACGGTTCTGGTCTGACTCATGGATTTGGACTTGATTGGGTTTGGAACACAAAATATTTCTTTAAAAAAAAAGAGCTGAGTTGCTTACTTAGTAGCTAGCCTAAACTCAGTTGCTACCATCAGAATGCAGCTTCTGTTACAGGAGCACAAATATGAGTTAAGGATGGATTCTGTGGCAAGTTAAACTGGAGCATACCATTAAACTACAGCATACATAAGAGCAGTCAGCCATCTCTGACCACTCATGTAGGTTCCTAGGCGAGATACAGGACCTCCATCCAACCGAGGAGGTGCCCTGCCCCACCAGGGGAGATGCCTTGTTGGATCTGCTCCTGGCCATGGGCAATGACCTGGTGAGGGGTCTGAGGGTGCTCGACCACCTAGGTGACAGCGATCATCTCCTGCTGGAATTCACCATCCAGTGCAGGGTGTCAAAGACCTGCAGCAAAGCAGCAGCCCTGGATTTCAGGAGGGCAGATTTCAATGAAGTAAGGAGAATAGTCAGGGAGGCACTGAGGTCCCAGAGGGGAGAGGAGTCGGGTGTCCAAGAAGAGTGGTCATTCCTTAAGGAGACGATCCTCGAATCCCAAAGGGAGGTAATCCCAACACGAATCAAAGGGGGCAAGAGGGCACAAAAGCCCCCATGGCTCACCAAAAGCATATGGGAACGTCTCCTGGCTAAAAGGGAGGTGTCCACCCAATGGAAGGTAGGGGCCATCACTACCACGGTTGCTCAGGGCTGCAGGGGGGCAGTCAGGAAGGCCAAGGCAGAGATGGAACTGGGACTAGCTACCCGTATCAAAGACAACAAGAAGTCCTATTTAAATACATAGGGGGCAAAAAGAAGGTACCAGGTAATGTGGGGCCTCTGCAAGACACACTAGGAAATCTGGTCGTCGCACCAGACAGCAAAGCTAACCTATTTAACAATTTCTTTGCCTCCATTTTTCTGAGCAGGGACCAGGTCACTCCCTCCCCCCACACCAGGACCCCCATAGGAGCCAGGGGAGGCACACCCAGGCCTAGGGTCAGTGAGGACCTAGTCACGGAACTTCTGGAGGGACTGGACATATTTAAATCAGCTGGTCCTGATGATCTCCACCCCAGAGTGCTGAGGGAATTAGCAGAGGTCATTGCAGGACCCCTGGCATGGCTTTACGAGCACTCGTGGTGCTCTGGTGTGGTGCCAGAGGACTGGAAAAGGGCCTATGTGGTTCCCATTTTCAAAAAAGGGAGGAAGGAGGACCCAGGAAACTATAGGCCAGTCAGTTTTACCTCGATCCTGGGTTAGCTTTTGGTGAGAATTATCCTGGTGCATGTCCGCGAGAGGTCAGCAGAGAGGTTATGCTTAGGGGCAACCAACATGGGTTCATTAGAGGCAGGGGTTCATTGGAGGCAGGTCCTGTCAGACCAACCTGGTGGCCTTCTATGACCAGGTCACAAAATCCTTAGACACAGGGGTAGCAGTGGATGTAGTATTTCTGGACCTTAGGAAGGCCTTTGACACTGTCTCTCACCCCATTCTCATTAAAAAACTAGGAGACTGTGGCGTCGACACCTACAGTCAAATGGGTCACTAACTGGCTGGAAGGCCGCACCCAGACAATGGTGGTAGACAGGTCTTATTCAGTCTGGAGGGATGTGGACAGTGGGGTCCCCCAGGGTTCTGTGCTCGGGCCTGCACTGTTCAACATCTTCAACGGCGATTTGGACAAGTGGGGTAAAAAGCACCCTGTTCAAATTCGCAGATGACACTAAGATGTGGGGGGAAGTGGGCATGCTAGAAGGGAGGAATAGGCTGCAATTGGACCTAGATAGGTTACAGGGGTGGGTGGATGAGAACAGGATGGGTTTCAACACTGACAAGTGCAAGGCACTGCACCTGGGGAGGAAGAACCAGCAGCATACCTACAGGTTGGGGAACTCCCTTCTTATCAGTGCAGAGGCAGAGAAGGATCTTGGAGTCATCATTGATGCCAAAATGAACATGGGCCAACAGTGTGGGGTTGCGGTCAGGAAGGCCAACCGTACCTTGTCATGCATCCACAGATGCATCTCAAGCAGGTCCAAGGAGGTGATCCTCCTACGGGACCTGAACCTGTTCAGCTTCCACAAGAGAAGGCTGAGGGGGATCTAGTGGCCATCTAGAAACTAGTCAGAGGGGACCAGCAGGCACTGGAAGAGTCCCTGTTCCCCCAAGCACTACCAGGAGTGACTAGAAATAACGGTCACAAGCTGGCAGAGGGTAGATTCAGACTAGACATCAGGAGGCACTACTTCACTGTCAGGGCGGCTAGGATCTGGAACCAACTTCCAAGAGAAGTGGTGCTGGCTCCTACCCTGGGGGTCTTTAAGAGGAGGTTAGACGAACACCTTGCCGGTGTCGTTTGACCCCAGTACTCTTTCCTGCCATGGCAGAGGGTCGGACTTGATGATCTGCTCAGGTCCCTTCCGACCCTGCCAACTATGAAACTATGAAACTATAAGCAATATGCTGAATTCTATCCTCACAGGCTCTTCCTTCTTCTCTTTAAAAGGGTGGAATGTGCACTATGTATGTAATGCATTGTGTGCATTGAAAATGTGATATGAGTGTGTGACAGAAGGGGAGCAACTGTGTGAAGTTCTGGCTGACTGACCATGGACTACAAATCCCAGAGGCACCTGGAAGCAGGAAGAGGAAGGACAAACCCTGCAGAGCCTTGCTGCTGGACTGCAAATCCCAGAAAGCCTTGGGGGGCTGGAGGAAGAGGAAGTGACCTCTGAGCCCTGGCTGCCTGTGTGTCAAGGTGCCTGGGGGCTATGGGGTATGATGTGCGATGGACTGAAGGAGAGGGAAGCCTCTGCACAGCACAGATGAACCATAGACCGACTGCACGTGATCCCAGACCTACAGAACTGCACAGAGTGACTCTGGACTAAAGGCTGGTTCTTGGAAACACCTCCGGATGTCGGCAGGCAGCTGGATGTGCTGAATGTATGTACCCCAGCGGTACTGATCAATACCTGTTTACTTGCCCTCTATGTGTATGTTATACTTTGGATGCCTACGTACTTGTATTTGTCCCTTCCCACTGGCCTGTGACCCTAACCCCAAGGACACTAAATATAAAGTAAATCCCTCGCTGGCTGTAGTGATTGTGCATGACATTGCAGGGGTTTACGGCAAAGGACAAAAGCAACATGCATGAATGCATTGTGTAATGTACTCTAAGCATTCCCTTCTGTAGAACCTGGAGACTGTCTCGAAATCGGTGGATATTTTACTCAGACAGATCAGCAGAATGGCAGTTGGTAACTATGAAGAGAGGTGATTAGCCATATTAGTCCAAGGTCAGGCAGAAGGCAGAATAGATTTGATGTTACAGAATAACTAAACCAAGGTTATATTAGCCCATGAAAGAGCTGGAGCTAGCATAAGAACAGATCCTACAAGCTTCATTGAGAGCTTCAGAAAAGCTCTTGCTATTCTATGACCTGTGCTGAAATGAGGGCTGAAGGATTAGGATGGACAACAGTGATCATGTCTACATGAAATGTTTACTGTGCACTTGACTAATTAGCTGAGCAGTAAATATCTCGGTGACTACACATGCAGCCTTATTAGGCTGGAATAAATTAATTTATAGCACAGCAGGATAGTACTTGTAAATATATACCCCGCACTGAAGCTCCCTTGTACCCCAGCCAGCTCCTCCACAGCACATTGAGCTGGGAGGAGCAGCTCCAGTCTGGCAGGCTGATTCCCAGGACCTGCTGCCAGCCAGGGCTGCTCCAACCCATCTCCATGTGCTTCTATATGCTCCAGAGTTTATTAATGTGAAGTAATAACGTGCACCCAGGGTGTGGTACATTAGCAGAGTGGGAGTTTCCAGAACTGGTGTGGACTTTTGGTGTAAGCTAGGACTGTGATATATTGGCTGAGCTGTTACTAATGATCTGAGATAATATTTCTAACATCCAGAACAACTGTAGAATTGGCAAAACAGAGGAGACTCTGGAAAGGAAAATATTAATTCCCACAAAATAACAGCAGTCAAAAAATAGGTATGGGTGAGTGTCCTGCATCTCAGCAGCTCTGCCATTCCTCACTTACCTTAAGGTAACTCTTCCCCTTTCCCCTCCCCACAGCTCTGTGTCAGATGCTGTATACCAGGACACATGGAAGTAGTCCCTATGGGATGTCAGCAAGGCTTTTCCAAGTCAGATCTAATACTGGGTACTGTCCACCCAGAGGTAGGAAAGCACAGACATTTCCCATCTTTTTTCTTGCACATGCTCAGGTTCTTCAGATCATTTTAAATTGTGGCATTTGGAAAACCTAATTTTTACAGCACCTCTTTGGATATCTCAGCACAAACCGACACTGGTCCATCCTCCTTTAAAAATGCCCAGCAATTCAAGCTATCCCATGAGCCAGCTTAGTGTGTCACAAGTTGACTAACTGGATTTTTAGCGCATCTAAATGTAAACATAGGGAATGTGTCTCCATGTTTGTAATGGGGGGTGGGGGATAGTGGCATGGCAGGGTTGTGGCTGCTAAAGGAGAGACTCAGACAGAGTGGGTGCAAAAGGAAGTACTAAAGCATGGCACCATAGCAACGTCACCATACAGTGCATTTAGACGTACCCATAATATACTAACACTCCCCATCCCCTTTCCCCAGTTGTGGTGTTAGTCTGTAAAGTTACAGGCTAAATGTAGACTAAGGACACTTAAAGTGTGTAGGTGTTCATTTTAAACTTTGCTAACTTGTGCTAAGTGCCCTCTGAACATCTCAAAGTGATACCACTTCAGACAAGGATTAACTCTGGACTGTGCTATCTAGCTTATATTACAATAATTTCAGTCCACTCCATGGAGATAAAACAAGCAATCTGTAGTCCTCCAGCATCCAAGGATTCACTGCTCCCAGGTTCCTCCTCTTTGCCTCCTGCTCCATAGCAGGGAGAGAGGCCAGGTTCCCTGGCTCCTAGCTATGCCCCTCCTTGACAGCCCTCTAGTGGCAAGTCAGATTTCTACAGGCAAAAAAACAATATTAACCTTTAATGTGCTATTGCTCACAGCACATTCTAACTTAAACCGCATAACATTCCACAGATTTAATATGGTCTTAATGTAATGTGTAACTTCATCCTAAGTTTATTGTCACACAGTCCAGGGACAAGCGTGTCAAACTCTCTTTGGCCACTTGCAATTGGCACCATTGTTCTTTACAGAGCATGGTGTATGCACCAATGAGTTCTTTGATGGCTTCTGAATCTGATGCATGAGTGACAATCCTGCCCACAGGTAGGGAACACCCATGCACTAGCAATGCTATGAATCTGAGCAGCAGATTCTTCCCTCCTCTGATGTTGGTCTTCATAAACCTTGATCTAGTCTGCCTCGCAGCCTCGCTTCATCTGCAAGCTGACTCCATCAACCAGAGTGGCTCCGCCAATGCCAGACCACAGCCAGCAAGGCCAGCCATACCTTGTTGTGCATCCAAAGGTGCATCTCAAGCCGGTCCAGAGCGGTGATACTCCCCCTCTATGTGACTTTGGTCAGACCGTAGTGGTAGTACTGCATCCAGTACTGGGCACCACACTTCAAAAGGGATGTGGCCAGCTTGGAGAGGGTTCAGAGGAGGGCCACCCACTTGGTGAGAGGGCAGCAGGACAGGCCCTACGAGGAGAGACTGAGGGACCTGAATGTGTTCAGCCTCAGCAAGAGGAGGCTGAGGGGGGACCTGGTGGCTGCCTATAAACTCATCAGGGGAGATCAACAGCAAATAGGTAGAGCCCTTTTCTCCCCAGCACCACCTGGGGTGACAAGGAACAATGGTAATAAGCTGATGGAGAATAGGTTGAGGTTAGAGATCAGAAGGCAATATTTTACAGTTAGGGTGGCCAAAATCTGGAACCAGCTTCCCAGGGAAGTGGTCCTCGCCCCTACCTTGAGCAAAGTCAAGAGGAGGTTGGATGATCACCTGTCTGGGCTCTTGTGAACCCAGCATTCACTCCTGCCTGTGGCAGGGGGTCAGGCTAGATGATCTGTTCAGGTCCCTTCTGACCTTGGTTACTATGAAACTATGAGTGGCGTTCTGCACTCCTTTCCCAATTATTCACAGAGATTCCAAAGGATGCTAAGTCATCTTTGCAAGCATTCTGAAATCTGTGTAGTGGTCTGCCTCCCTTTTGAGACCGTTCATGAGCTTCAGAGTATAGCACATTTTTCAGCATCCTGTGATTCAGCATTTGCTTGGCATGCTGAAGCCACCTGAGTCTTTTCTTATTAATCAACATTTCCATGAATGACATACCAGCACAATTTAACACTTCCACATTTACCACCTTGTCTTGCCACCTAATTCAAAGAATTATATGAAGGCATCTGATATGAAAGCTATTTAGTCTTTTGATATGTTTGGCATAGGTCATCTATGTTTCTAAGCCATATAGAAGAGTGGATAAAACATGTTTCATTAATATGGATTTTCATTTAAGTTTAGTTTATTATTTTTCCAGGCTCAGTCTCTTGCAAAACACCAAAGTTCCTGGCTGCTTTGCTGATTCTTCTAGTGAACTCAGCATCAAGATCAATATTGCTAATAACAGTAGAGCCAAGATGGAAAAAATGGTCAACAACATCCAGATGAGTACCATCTAGGGTGATACCTGGAACTGCTTCTGAAGAGCCTTGGTGGATGATAACAGTCTTCTTCAAGCTTATTGCTAGTCCAAAGATTTTGCATGAGTTAGAGAACTTGGTAATGAGAGGTTGCAGGGCTGTGAAACACAATTGCTGCATCATATGCAAACAACGGGTCCCTTATAATGATCTTCTTCACCTTTGTTTTAGCTCTGAACCACGCAATATTAAATTGTCCTCCATCATGTCTACTGCTGAGATAGACACCCTTTTGAACATCACGGTGTCTGTGAGTGACCTTGGTGTACCCACACAGGTATCTCTGCACTGGACAACCACCACTCTTAGCCACCTTATAATCCCTGCCCACCGTGACTTGGTGTAAACTTCTTGGAACTAGGAGGCTACATCTGGTCTTTTTCATGTGGCTGTGACCTGCTCTCTTCCATGGGCTGCTGGAGGGGCCCATCTGCAGGGCTTCTTCCCCAACTACACTCTGCTCCCTTACCTCCAGTGGACAAAATGGAGTCCATGTCTCTCTTTTCCACTTTTCTGTTTTCCTTTGATTTAACAGGACCCAGGAAACTATAGGCCTGTTAGTCTTACCTCGGTCCTGGGGAAGCTCTTTGAGAAAATTATCCAGGAGCACATCTGCAAGGGGCCAGCAGGGGAGTTTATGCTTAGGGGCAATCAACACGGGTTCATTAGACACAGGTCCTGTCAGAAAAACCTGGTTGCCTTCTATGACCAGGTCACAAAAGCCTTGGACGCAGGTGTCGCGGTGGATGTAGTCTTCCTGGACTTTAGGAAGGCCTTCGACTGTCTCTCACCCCATCCTCATTAAAAAATTGGCATCTGTGGTATCGACGCCTACACAGTCAGATGGGTTGCAAATTGGCTGGAGGGCTACACCCAGAGAGTGGTGGTGGATGGGTCATTTTCGACCTGGAAGGATGTGGGCAGTGGGGTTCTGCAGGGCTCGGTCCTTGGGCCCGCACTGTTCAATATCTTCATTGGTGATTTGGATGAGGGGTGAAAAGTACCTTGTTCAAGTTCGTAGATGACACTAAGATGTGGGGAGAAGTGAGCACGCTAGAAGAGAGGAACAGGTTGCAACTAGATCTCGACAGGATACAGAGGTGGGTGGATGAGAATAGGATGGGTTTCAATACAGACAAGTGCAAGGTGTTGCACCTGGGGAGGAAGAACCAGCAGCATACCTACAAGCTGGGGAACTCCTTTCTTGTCAGTGCAGAGGCAGAAAAGGATCTTGGAGTCATTATTGATGCCACAATGAACATGGGCCGACAGTGTGGGGATGCGGTCAGGAAGGCCAACCATAC